CAACTTTTATAAATAAATATGCCCCCCCCCCATCAAATACACACACACACACACACACACACACACACACACACACAATTATTGACTAATGTTTGAAGGTATATATATATATATATACTTATACATTTAAATGCACCATTGTAGCCTAATTACATGTATAAAGGTCATGGTACTTTCAAAGGTCCTCTGTGTCGGTGGGACTTTTCAGTTTAACCAGAGCACGCATTACGCCCCGCCTCTTTTACTGAGCAGCGTCTGATTCTTGAGCTCTGATTGGAGCAACCCGCGTCAGTCAAGATTTGAAGCAAGTTTGGTTGCGTTTGTGGTTGTTGATGTCGCTGTCAGAAGTCATCCAGCAGCGAGGAGAGCTAACAGGTAAGCGCGGACACACTGCTTTTACACGAGTTAATGCCATTCACTTCACTGGGCAGGTAGCTGACTGTAGCAGAGGTGATTATTGGGGATATTTATATTAAAATCACGAATTTAAAGGGTTTTGTTTGCTGCCTCTGGCTTGTAGCGTTGATGTCATGTATCAAATTGATCCTGTATAACCAGGAACTCGTGAGCAGCATGAATGAAGCCACTTGTTCATCATTTAAATGAGGAACAGTCTTGTTTTTGGAGTGTAATAGGACGTGGGGAGTTGACAGCTAGCCCGAGTGGTCAACTAATGTGGTAGCCCAGCTGGTAAAGATAGTATAATTATCTATAATGCACATTACTACACTAATCTAACAGCACATTGTGACTGTCAGCAGCCATAATATGTAATATCTGGGGCTGTTACACCTGTTGCTAGTCCTGAGTCCTGTCCTGGGGGTAAAATAAATCATTCATTAATGTTGAAAACAATCCTACAGGCTGCCAAACAGAGCTGCCACAGAGTGCAGAGCTGAACATTTCTTCAAGCGCTGCCATAACCTCTTCTCTTATAGCTGCAGATCATAGAGACAGTGCTGTGGGTTTGTCTGAGTCCCTAAGCTCGCTGTGCTTTGTCCTAGGTGACAATGCAGTTCTTAGGCCGGCTGTTGGACACAGTCTCCTCTGTCTCAACCCTCTTCACCAACCCCTACCGGGTCAGGGATGTGCCGCTGTCCGACTACCGAGGAGGAGGCAAAGTCATGCTGAAGGAGGAGGGACGCATGGTCCTGTACAAAAACGCCCAGTGCCATTCATGGGACTGTCTGCTCATGTGCCCTGAGATGCCCACTGTGACTCTGAGGTCAGTATTGATCACGTCACACAGACAGAGGTGTGATATGTGTCATTTGTATTATGCATCCACTGAACTAGATTTCCATTTGCAGATGTCAGCTGAAACCGCAAGTACGTTGAAAAGATGCAGATTTTCAGTAGTTTCTAGTAGATTCTATGACCCTCTGCAGATGTATTTCAGCCTTTGACATATTGAATTAGCTGTCTCTCTTGACCTACATCATTGCCCAACAAAGCAGATGAACTACATCAAAGTGTTTTATCTTGGATGAGTCAGCGCTTGTTTATTCAGTCGTGGATCTGGAAAGCAGGTTAATCAATGGCTAAGGATAAGAAGTTGTTGCGGGGGTTTTGTGTTTAATGTACATTTGGAGCTCTAATGCAAACATTATGATCCCTGCAAACTTAACATCATACAGTATTCTAAAAATACACTGAATATGTGTGTGCAAAGACTTGTCAAAGCCACTTTTAAAACTTGAAAGTTCTTGTAATTGCCTCAATATCACAGAATCTGCATACATCTGTATTGCGGACGTAAAGGTTACAAAAAAGAATTAGCAGTGGGAAACAAAGGAGAGCAGTGGAGTGCATCTTCTCTAATATTCGTATTTATTTTATCTGTCCTTTGTACCAGTATTAGTTTTTGGCGCTCATTTAGATTTTCCCCTCATGGTTCTTGTGAAATGTGGCTGTGTAATTATTCCACTGTGTGATTCAGGCTGTTTCAGGTGGCGTCAGAAGAGGACGCCATGAACTGGTTCCCCCAGTATGCCCTCAAGCTTCGCCCCTTCTATGAGACACTTCCTCTGAAGGCTGAGACCGCCCAGCCAATTGTGGACTGCATCCGCAACCACCCGGACTGGAGTTCTGCCCACATTGCTGTGGAGACAGGCCTGAGAGAGTGTCTCAAACATAACTATGTCCAGAGGTAAGACAGGAAGTGCTTTTTTTTACGTGACCAGCTGTTGCTAAATGCTTGTGTTTGTGACAGTTCCCTGACAATGCATGACAATGCAAATTACATTTTAGAATTTCTGCATCAACAGTCCAAAACATACTCATACACAAGGATAATAGAGAAAAGAATCAAGCAGGTCTTATCAGCTGTGACCAACACTAATTTGTTTTTGTTAAATGATAATCAATAGATTAGTGTTTCGAGATAACGCTGAATAAAGAGAATATAATAACGTGTATACCAAAGCAGTAATTGTGAGGCCACCAGCTGAACGCATACAATGCAACAAACACTTAACTATTTCTAATTAGTTCATGACAACAGGGCTTTAAAATCCTTTCAGGTTTTAGCTTGCTAACTGCAAATCACTTGCATTAACGTACCCATCTGCTATGCAGCTGTTGGTTTTTATTAAGTTCAGTACAGTGTGATAATCAACTTGCATTTCCTTGAAAACTACTTAAGAGAGAGTCAGTATTTCACAATAGAAACATGTAGTTGCTATATTTTGTGTTCAAAGTTTTGGCTAAAAGTCTCTGATGGACAAGAATGTGAGTCTTCCAAAAAGCATTCACAAATGTTCCTCCTACAGATAGTTTAAAAGTATTAATTAAAATTTAAACAGTTTTGCTTTGTCTGTAGCTGTTTAACAGATTATCTATAGAGTATATCTGACAATTCATGAACATAACCTAACCAAGATGTTGTTTTTAGCCTAACCCTTAACCACAGAGCTGTAATATCTGGAAAACGGTCATTGAATCTCAACTAATAAGCTGTCAATGTTACCAATACTCTAAACTATCTGTACGGGGACTCTCCAAATAAACTGGAACCAGTGTTCTTGTTAGAACATTTCAGCTCGAAGACACAATGAGGAAACATGAACGTCACGAAAAAGACATTTGAAGTGAAAGTTGGTCTTATCTTGAATCGAAACGCTTGTGGGTTGCAGTCAAAACAGCTATATGCAAACTATTAATTCAGCGGCTAAACCGAGCAAAGCGACCTGTGTGCTCACGTCATCTTTCTGTCTCCAGTCAGATCAATGCTCGGGCTGCAGCAGGCCAGACGCCGCTGCACCTGGCGTGCGAGCGCGGCGACTCTGCGTGTGTGAAGGAGCTGTTGGACGAAAGCCAGGCTCGCACCGACATCAAAGACCACAACGGAGAGACGCCCATGCACTTTGCCGCCAAGCAGGATTCTCCCGCCATCATCCTGGTGAGACTCCATGTCATCATATTTTGGCCATGACTTGTAGAATTATCTTACCATCATGTTTCAGTATCCTTAAAATTCAACTGATTGATCCAAGTACGGGCGTTGTCAGATCAAGATTAAAACATTTATGAACGAGTCATGTCCTCTAAACTGCATAGTAACATAATTTTCTCTCCTTCCACTTCGCCCACCATGCTGTCGTCCATCGCTCCCTCCTTCCCTCATTCAGGTCCTGTGCTCGCGGTTGTGCTCCGGGGTCAATGAGCTGAACAACAACGGGGAGACGCCGCTCCACGTGGCCTGCCGTCTGGGACGCGTGGAGTCTGTGAAAGCTCTGTTGGGGGGAGGGGCCAAGTGTGATGTCATCGGTGGCGTTGGCTACCCCATCCACAGTGCCATGAAGTACAGCGAGAAGGGGTGAGTAGGGGTAAACTGCGGGTACATTTTAAAATGGTTTCTGTAAGTAACAACCTACAGACTGTCAGTCCAGGACAGTCTTAGTAACAGTTACCCTAGTTACCCTGCTGCCCTGTCTCCTTTTTACATATACCGCTAGGTGTACATAAACACTTTCTGCAGTATGCCTCCAGGTTTATTAACTTAGGATATGTCCATAAAAGTAAAAATGATTAATAATTCTGGAGAATACCTCTCAGACAAGTTCATTAAGTAAAATCAGAAAAGTAATATTGTGCCTCTGAGGTTGCCAAATTCATTTCCCACAGAGATTTTAGAGCCTCTTTGATGGGTTGCTTAAACTGCTCACAAAGTAAAACAGCATGGATACTGTGAAAGTTTTTTTAGATATCAAATGTGTTGCTTCAGTTAATATATAGTAAATAGTCCTCTTTTCTGTGTTTGACTGTCAGCTGTGTGGAGGAGATCCTCAAAGCGGACCCAGGCCAGGTCCAGGCTGAGGACTCTTTGTATGGTGGGACGCCTCTGCACTGGGCCAAAACTGCTGAGGTGAAAAATATGACATCAGTTGTTTGTGGTTAGAGATCCATAATGAGCGGTTTGAATTACAGTGCATCTGTGCATCCTATAGTATACATCTAGAGAAATTATTCTTTAATTATCAATTAAAACTTTGATGTTACAGCAATTAATTTATGACCTTGAGGGTCAACCAGTTGGAGTGCAAGCAACTATTACACAAATGTATGGCACAACTTCCAGCCAGTGAAAGAAACCAAGACATTCATGTTTTAATCTAATTTAGAATTAGAAATGCGTCAAGAGGATTTAATAAAAACTAGCTTAACATATGAGGGTAAATATCAAGCTGATGTTTAAATAATTCTTCCGCTCTCTTTGCCAGATGTGTCGTATGCTGCTGGAACATCGCTGTGAAGTCAACTACCTCAGTAAAACCGGAGAGAGCGCCCTCCATATTCTGACAAAGAAGGGCCGCTTCGAGGCGGCTATGGTGCTGCTCACCCACGGAGGGAACGCCAACCTGAAGGGCCAGGAAGGAAACACAGCCCTGCACCTAGCTATGAAGGTGTGTGTACTAGACTGTGCCTTGCTCTTATTTTCCAGATGAAAGCAATAATCTCTTTCCTATCAAATTCAATCATATCAAATTGTTCATGAAAGGGAAGGGGAATGTCAAGGAATGGTTTTTGCAAAGTTGTTGCAACACAGTTTTAGCAAGAGAGGCAAAATACTATAAGATTACAGCGGTTTTAAAATCCCAGCCAATTTGGAAATCAGGTTGCATCACACATGCAGCGTAAGGATAAACTTCAAAGATCTGCTTGTCTGTAATGGCCAGCATGCTGTCTTTCTCGCTTGGTATGAGTAGTTCTTGCTGACATTTCTTGAATAGCAACTTTTCTTGTTTCAACAGGAAACATTTTTGTTAACTATGCTATTTATGTATTAAAACAAAATTTAAATGGATATACCAGAAAGCTAAATTACAACAGTTTTTAAATGTATATAGAATTTGACAGATGATGACATCTTAAAGAGTCTGTATTTTTCCTTTTTATTATTATTTAGTTTGGTTTGTTTAAATATATATCACTGCACCATTTATGTGATTCTCTGTGCATTAGATGGACCACATGGAGTTGATCAAAGCTCTGATTGTGTTCGGGGCTGATGTGGAGATCCACAACGACGTCGGAGAAACACCTGGACTCATCGCTGCTCGCACCAGCAAAGGTAAGAGAAAGAGTGAAAGATGGAAAAGAGAGCTTTACACTGTGAAGAGATGAGATGAGGCAAGAGGGCAAGGGTGTGTACACCGGAGGCTGAATAAATGAAGACCGGGAGGATGTAATAGTCATGGGGTTTATGGAACTTAAAATGCTTGACCTAACAGGCCAGTTTGAACTTTATAATAACATGTTAACATTAAGTCTCCTTTAAATGCATGTGTTCCACTGTAGACGGCAAAGCTACTGCATGAAAATGGTTGGAATCGTTAGTGTCTTGTGTCAGTACATTAAGTCCTGTTTTACAGCTCCTGCAACTAATACATTGTTTTGTGACTGTTTAAAAGCAACATGGTTAGAAAGCTTCCACCATCTTTTAAAGCTGCAATAAAAAAAAAAATGTCACTACCATATATAGTAAAATGAGATAAGGCCTTAAGATGTCTAAAATATAATTGACAGGTCTTAACATTTAAATTGGATCGATAAGGAACGAATGCTGATGTATGAATGTAAAATGGGTCTTAAATTGTATTCGTAATGGTCTTACAATGTCTTAAAAAGTCTTAAATTTAACTTGTTGAAACATACAGAAGAAGAAAGATTCTAAAGAGGAAGGAAACAGACAAAACATTATACAATTCAATAAAATAGAAATATATTACCCATTACTCCCATATTCACCTTCTTAACAGTAGAGGGCGGTGCTACGAGTGAGTGAAAATTAAAAATGTTGCATTGCCCCCTTATTTTGTAAATGACCAGTAACAGCTCTCTTACGCAGTGTTCATGATTAAAAATGATTTATTTCATAGTCACAAATGTAGAATTTCTGATTTTTATTTGTGTCATTGGATTGCATTAAGATGTCACACTGTATTGTGCTTAAAGAAATGTATAATGTAGGCCCACCCTCTGAGGTAGTGAATCACTGACTGTATAATTTAATTCCATTTAAAAAGAATGACATTTTAAATGTAAAAATGTTTTGAAATTTCACTTTAATTTCTTAAACATCAGAACATCCTGAATTTGTGAGGCTATTCAAACACAAGATTATTGCTTAAGCATATTTGTTGTTGCACATAGAGATGATTGTGTAGGAAATCACTCACTTGATGCTCTGAAGCAGAAGTGGTGGTAAAAGAAGTTGCGAACATGTATTGATTTTTAAAATGCATGAAAATTGCTAACAGCTCGCTCACATTCTTACTTTCTTTCTCTGTCTCCTCCTATCTCTTTCTCTATCTCTCTATTCTTTCTCCCTGCTCATTGTGGTGTGTGTGCATGTCTAACATGTTGCCTTGCTTGTGTGTGTGTGTGTGTGTGTGTGTGTGTGTTTGTGTTAACATGAAAGGTCCTAATAGAAAGATACTGCTGGACATGCTGTGTAGTGTAGGGGTCCAGAGGTGCCTCCCACCCTCCCCCGGCACTCCTTCCCCCATCTCCAACAAGGCCAATCCTCCAGGCATAGGTAACACCACCATCCCTACTTCTGCCCTCTCTTTTTCTTTGTCATTTTCTATAACTCTACATTATTCTTTTTTTTTTTTTTTACATTTTACAGTTTGAACACTTTGGAACAGATCTCATCCAATGCTTGTATATATAATGACAGATTGTTAACAGATTAGCTCATTTGTATTGGTCATACTATGGGTAAAAAAAACTTTAATTAAGACTTGAGCCATATTAATGATCCAACAACATCTGAGTTTTCTGTGAAACCAGAGCCGCAAGGTGTGATGTTATTCTGATACATGAGAACTGACCAAAAAGAGGCACTGCCCTGGTCCCAAACACTTTTTTATGAGCAACATACTGCTAATAGTGTACTGATAGTGATAACAGTAGAAGTTTAGTTGAATTATTTGTATGATTCTTTCTACACTTGGCTAAATTTGTTTCTGGAAAGCTTCCATGAATAAAGCAAAGGTCATTATATGAAACTAAATATTTTCCCAGACAGTGAAACTATATCTAGAGGCTCCCTTGTGGCTTGTAGAAAACCCAGTAGCCTCTTTTCTTTTTCATCCCTCATGCATGAATTTGATGCCATGTGTTGATCCCATATGAATAGCTATTGTAATGTTCTGACAGGGTTTGAGGACATCATGTATGTGGGGGCTGCAGTCAGTGCAATGAGCAGAGGCGCGTCTGAAGTGGACGGCCACAGAAGGGAGAAAAAAAAGTGAGTAAGAAGCTTAAACTTGTGAATATTGCAGTTCTGGAGAGGATAAAACACACACAAATAACTCTCTTCTCTTCTCTGCAGGAAGGACAGTTTGCTGTGTCTGGATGGTGGAGGTATTAAAGGCCTGGTGTTGATCCAGATGTTAATTGCTCTGGAGAGAGAGGCCGGTCGACCCACCAGAGAGCTCTTCGACTGGGTGGCAGGCACCAGCACTGGGGGCATCCTGGCCCTCGCTATAATACATGGTGCGTATGCATTTCCCTTTTATTTTCACATATTTTTAGAACGTGGAATTAAAACATCAATGACGTTTCTTCTGTTTTGTAGGTAAGTCCATGGAGTACCTGCGCTGCCTGTACTTTAGGATGAAGGAGCAGGTGTTCAAGGGTTCACGACCTTATGAATCAGCACCACTGGAGGACTTCCTGAAAAAAGAGTTTGGAGAGAACACCAAGATGACAGATGTCCGATATCCCAGGTAACCGTTCACGTTGAATGTGTGCTTCTTCTTCTCTAATGTACTCACCAGCAAATGGTAAAATGTTAGCAAGCTGATTGTGTAAGCCAGTACTATGGTACCTCCAGAATATATGCAAATATAAAACCAATACTAATTAAAGAGTGAAAAAGAAAAAGATTCAGTGTTCCGCCAGTGAGTTCCCATAAAGTACTATTTCTTTCTTGAGGTTATGTGTGTTTTTCCTGTATTTCTGCTGTTGGTAAAAATGACATCAACCAGCTTTAGATACCATACTTCCTTGCTGTGATTAGCTGTTATTTTGAGAAAAAATATTATTTTGTCAAGTGCAGTGCCTTGTAAAATGCAATCTGATTTTACCTTGGAGTGTTGGATTGGGTTGCTACAAAAAGCCTCATTACTTTGGAAAAAAATCTTCGGCTGCTTAGAAATTGTGTGCAAGTGCTCTGAAACAACTGAAAATTCTTTGTGAAAATAAAAAAAATGGTGGTGTCATTTGGTTTGGTGCAGTATGGGGTTTTACGTTTTTAAAGATAAGTCAAACCTCTTTTTTTTTTTATGAGCACAAATGCTGCATACTTGTTCACCTCTACACTCTCTAACGATTACTCTATTCTCCGCTCATTTATTTGTTTCTGTACAGGGTGATGGTGACCAGTGTTCTAGCAGACAGACATCCAGGCGAGCTGCACATCTTCAGGAACTATGACCCTCCCTCCGTCCACAGAGAGCCCCCATACGCCACCACTGCCACATTCAAGCCCCTCACCATCCCACAAGGTACTTACAAATGGAGCCAATTCTGTGTGTTACCCTACTGCACCGGTGCTCTAACGTTGTATTGAAGGGGTAATGCAGTGCACTAATACTACCACTGGATGGTGTGAAAGTAAGCAGTTTTCAAACCCTACACTTGGTGGCTTTACATTCTGGGATTGGGTAATCTCAACAGTATAAGAACACCAAGTTCTCAGTTCATTCAGGAAATGAAACCTAAAAAGCCTAACATCATCAAAACCTGCATCTGGATTTGAATCTCATCGTATTCCTGAACAAGTCCAGTTCCGCTGTGTTGTCTGAGTGACAGCCATGTTGTTGTTCCAGGATGGGAGGATGAGGATGTGTTGATAGTAGGATTCACAGAGGAACCAACCAGAAAGCGTAGCAAGATGACAGATGAAGGTGTGTGTCTGTATGAGTGAGAGACATGGAACCGGTTCACAATAATGTAATTTTGTCTGTCACAGATTTTTGACTACATACCACAAATTCCCATTTTCCCATGTTGGAATAGTTTGACATTGTGGGAAATACAGTTATTCACTTTTTGGCCGAGTTTGATTAGAAGAGAGAAGATTGATACCACTTACACTAACTTACACGTTAAGTTTGGAGTTGCTGTCATTCAGGTCTCCCCCTGTTTCCAGTCTCTATGCTATGCTAAGTTAGCCTGCTGCTCACTGCTGACAGCTGCCGGTAACATCATTCATGCAGTGGCATCAATCTTCCCTTCTAACTCTCAGTAAGAAAGCAAATAATCACATTTCCTGAAATGTCAAACTTTTCCTGATGAGATTTCCGCATGGATGAATATTAATGTTTAGTGAGCGCTAACAAGCTAGCCTGTACCCAGAATAAAAGTATTTTATTAATTGTTTCATGCCTTTTTAAAATCTTTATATCCCTTTTTTTACACCAGAACAACTTGTGTGGCGAGCTGCACGCTCCAGCGGCGCTGCCCCCACCTACTTCCGACCAATGGGCCGCTTTCTGGATGGAGGGCTACTGGCCAATAACCCGACGCTAGACGCCATGTCAGAAATCCATCAGTACAATAAAGCCTTAAAAGCAGAGGTAGAAAACTTCTCCCATGGTCTTCCATTAAGTTACTAACTGATTTTTAATGCTTTTTTTTTTTTAGATTAGATCATTTATTTATCTGTCTCTTTTTTTTTTTTTAACCCTCCTCCCTCTCAGGTCCATGGAAAAGGAACCAAGAAGTTAGGTATAGTGGTCTCCCTTGGTACAGGTAAGCTACTTCATTGTGTCTGAACATGGCAAATAATGCATTTTATCTTTTATTTTATGTAACTTAACTGTAAACTTAGGGTCACTTTGTGAATCTGAATGTGCTGTTTATCACCCATAATCAGTTTGTCTCTGCCGGTATATTATTTTTCATTATATTTATGCACATAATGTATGTGCATACATATTTGTACTACTATTTAGACAAAATTTGTATGTATTCATAGAGATTTCCCAATCTGATCTCAAATGATTGGTGTTGGTTATATACAGCTTTTTTGATCCAATCCTTTTTGTTTTGTTTTACTTTTTTTTTTTTATTTTTTTTTTTTTTACTTGTAAAGCTTTTATGCA